CTTTCTAGCCGATGTACCTTCATCACTAGAAGACTTCGCCGACGACGAAGAGTAATAACGGATAATGACTTCGGATCCGCCGTACTTAGCGGAGACGAAAGATTTTATAGACGTAGAGTTCTCTTCCTCGGAGTGAGAAGAAACCTACTTACGCCGTAGCCGTAGACTTCGAAATAGAGCGACGAGGCCGCCACCCTTAATAGTGATAGTCGAAATTTTCCTTATAACCGACTAAATACGGAGAGAGTATAATAATTTAAATATTCTAGGAGAATCTTTTAAGAAATGAACTACGTAGAGTTCGTTATTATTTCTTTCGCTCTATTATTACGAAGCGGTAGAGAAGGTAACGCTCTAAATTTAAAGGCTTACGGAAAGTTTATACGAAAGAAAACGACGGTGAGTATAGCCTTACGCTTAAATTGAACTACGATACGTCTAAATCTACGATCTTATTAGCTCCGAAATCTCGCTAATAAAAAGAAGGAGGGAGGGAATAAAGTATCGTAAATCGTTAGGCCGTAAAGAAAACACTACGAACGTAAGAAAGTAAGTGTGTACTCTAATTAGCTAAATTTATCTAAACACTATATAGGGAAAAATGAAGTACGCTAATTAGCTAAAATTTTACGGCTATCGAGGTAGCCGTTCCCGCCTAAAACGTTGAAAGATAAAGCGAATATCATGGCCCGAAGTATACTCTCATCGGAAAGCAATGACGCTAGAGAATGAGAGCTTTAAGAATTCTCGCTCACTAAGTAAGGATATCGTAAGACCTTTATAGATAACTAAAAGATTAGTTATAGATAAGATAAATTAGATAGCCGTATAGACTAAAGATAACGGAGAAGATATATACTAGTGATACTACTAGTGACGATACTACCACTAGAAGATCAAGTCTAGTACGGAATTAGTTCGGAGAGATAATCTAAAACGTAAAATACCGGGGTTTTACTATAGAGACGCCGAGATATATATACTTCTACTAGAGATAGATATAAGTATTTAGTTCTTATCTTCCCATTAATCTTTCTTTCGATTACGATTCTACGATTTAATTCTCCGTTAATCATACTATTTCGAATTATTCTAGACTCTCTCGACTCGTTCTTTACTCTTAAAATTACCTTTCTAAGTAAGATTCTAAAAGCGTAAGCCTAGAAATCTTTACATAACTTTATTATTAAGTTCAGTATTTCGACGACGATAGTTTAGACCGAATTACCTTTTTCTTTTCTTTCTTTCTTCTCGGGTTTCTAGCTTAATAATCCACTACGCTATTAAGATATTCGGAAATTCTAGGTCACTTTTATTGAGACTTCTAATGATTTATCTAAATTCTACTTCTATGGTCGCTATTAGTAGAGATACTAGATATTAAGCATCTAATATCGGAACCGTCGAAAATTAGTCTATTCTCACTGTTAAATACCTAGACTATATTAGAGAAGTTGCGCTCGAAGAAGCTATAGCTACTGTAGATTAGAATAACGCGAATCGAGTTAAAGACTTCTATAGCTCTCTTAAATTAAAATATCGATAAATGAGCGAGATTCGCGACTTTATAGTCTAACGAGTCTACGACCTCATTAAAGATCTTCTAAATGTCCGTGTAGAGTTTTAAAAATGCTCTGGTCTATACGCTAAAAAGAAAGAGTTTAATAATAGACGAAATCGTCGTATAGAGATACGTAATAAGCTACTCTCTAAATACGGCCGAATAAATGATATAAGTCTCTTTAATTATAAGTATAGAGAGAGAGGCGTTCTTATTTCGCGCGGAGAATTCGTGAAGCTTCCTACTTAGACGTTAGTAGAATTCTTTAATAAATTAATTATTTCATACGGAGAGGATATAACTATACTCTTAGACTAGTATTAATTCGCACGGAAACACCCACTCTAGTATAACGTAATTTCTCTTCGGCTACTATAAGTCACCTCGTATGAAATGATAGCCCGTCTGGCCTAAATTCGATAGAATCGACACTATAATACTTCGTCGCATCTAGTTACGGGGGACATTTAGATCGTCCTCGACGGTAAAATACCTAACGATAATAAGCGAATCGCTGAGCGTAATCGTCCCGAGTGGTTAGAGGTACTTAGTCGATACGGATTTATAGAAGCGGCTAAGCTATACTAGGTAGGCGTTCTTCCTATAAACTATAATAATCTAATTATATTCGAAGAAAAACCTAGGCTAGTAGCACTACTTACTACGTAAGGTTTAATTACTAGGAACGTTTTAGGCTCGGGAGTTCACCGACCCGTTACTCGTTCTAGTACTAGTAATCTCTCTACACCTCGAACTACGAATTTCGCCGACCTTATCGGTTCTTCTAACACTTCCGTAAGACGTCCGAATACGCGGACTACCTAAGGCGGTCGAACTTCTATTTCTACGGCCTCTACTACGTCTACTCTTATTACTCTAATTTCTATACGACCATAGTAAAGCGCCCTTCCGATATAGTTTAGTTTAATAGATATAGAACGAAGAAGTTTAATATAGCTTACGAAACCGGGAGAAGAACGCCCTATTCTTAGGAGTCGCGAATAAATAAATTAAATAAGAAATAATTCGATTAATATCTTAGACGTTATAAAGAGACCGCGACCATAGACGGTAACCTCTAGTCTAGGCTTCGTAGCTCTAAGTCCCGGCTATAATCTAAGTGTAAAGAAGCCGAGAATTTTAGAACTCTTCTACGGAATCGAGATCGAATAGTAACTCGTAAACTAGAGAATACGTATTGCTAGTTCTTCCGGAGTCGTCTTATCACTATACTCTCTCGGAAGAGATACGTTCGATAACTTATCGAATTTAATTCCGAATTCTAGGAGCCCTGTCGTGTTCGCGTAATTAATGATTTAGAAGTATATAAGATAGACGAACTACGGAAGAGATGTATCCTTAGTTAGCCGTGAAGATATATAACGATACTACGAATTCGGAGTTAAAAAGATAATTAACGTATTAAGCTTACTTACTAGATATATATCTAGACGATATATATTCGCCTATCTATATATAGTCGAGAAAGGAATCGTCTTATACCTAGAAGAATTAGAAAGAATCGCTGCGCCTTATGAAGATTCTATAAAGAATCTCGAATAATTAATAAAGTAGTGGGAAGAAAGGTTCGGAACGGTAAATTACTAGGTTCTACCTAGCTATCCCGATTATAAGGCTATCGATGTCTTGAGTAGTGCTCTTCGAAGCGCCCTACTAAGTCCTAAATATGACGGATGGGTTAATTAGTCTTTCATCGATGCGGAAATTATAGTAAGCTAGAAAGAATTATATATAAGATGTACTATCATCTTAGGCGCCGCGTTCCTTTTCTAGATTAACTAATATAGGAACGTAAACGCACCGATGAAATTTAAAGCCTAGGGAAACGTCGACGATGGTATAAGACGACTCATTATCTTTAACGACGACTTAATAAATAAAGGGCACCATTAGCTAATCTTCATAGCCGACGGGACAACGTAGTCGTACTCGGTCATTAATTCGATATAAGGCAGATTAGATACGACTAAGATAGTACTCGATTTCTTCGTTCGATGATTAAAGAATAGTGTTTTTAGTATTTCACCCCGGGAAATACGCCTTAAATCTAATCTTTAGTAGAACATTAGTAGTTGTGAGCTCTAGGTGATTAAGAATTCTCTAGCGATCATTAATGCGGAAACTTACGAGACGGCTCGCTTATAAATAGTCTTATCTAATACTTAAGTCGATATCGAGGATCGTTTCACTATCGCCCTGAAGATCTATAAGATGATTATGCGTGAACCGAAGCGTAGTGAAGATCTAGGGGCGTTGAAGGGCTCGAGTTCGAAGGGGTTAGATGGGAGATAATTAGATAACTTCGCAGAGCGTTTAAAGGACATGAAGAAGAATTAATGTTTCCGAGAAGGATAGGCGAAGATTATAGTTAAGTCTTGAGCGAGGTCGTCAAGGAAGCGAGCGACAATGGGAGGGATGTAATGGGAGAAGTTAGAAGTGGTGGACAGAGTTATGATTGGCTGGGGCGCCGACCCTAGACTATGGTTCTTCTTATATAGTTCTGGGGGACTATCTTTCATAGACAACATAAGTAACTAAGTTACCAATAGAGAGGACTTCCCTAGTTGAGTGTGCGCGTCAAGGAGAGACTATACCCACCGCCGTACGAGTTGATGCCCATGGCTAGTAGCCTCGCCCCAGTTCAATAGGAGCCATAAAGTGCAAGCCGCAATTTACGGGGAACAAAGGGAAGTGCACCTGAAGTTTTGTATTCGGTATTCCCCATGCCCCAGACCGCAACCAAAATCCATTACCCATTGCCGATATCCGAATCAAGCGGCACCGTTCAAGTATCACCAACTCCTGGAGTCCAGTTGCCTTTCCTGGAGCGGTGGCTTCCCGGCCGTGTCCTCTTCGGAATGGTGCTTGATGGGTATCAGAGACGTCCTCTCTCTGGAGTCTCAATTCGACATCGCATGTCCTAGAATGACGCACCCTCGCAGCTCAAGCTTGAAATGAATGCCTGCCTGATTTGCACTATCGTTAATTCAAGCCATTTATGGCATCAGCGCGATGGAGCAGACGACGGCCAGCCGTGTCACCAGATCCCGCCGATATCCCAGCCCTTAAGTCAGGGTCGTCTAGGAAAGAACAAATTTTGTGGGGATAATTACAAGTAGCAGGAAATGAGGATGATCACCGAATGGGAATGGCACTGCAGCAATATCAATCGACAGCATCCTCTGGAAACTACATTCGCGGTCCCTTTGATGCTCTAGTCGTATAGGGTGTCACGACGACTTCGCTGTGGCCAGTTTATATCCCTTGCCTTGCTCGCTTTGGGCACTTTGCCCGCTTTTTGCTCCTCTCAACAAAATCCGGCGAATGGCAGCTACGACATGTTTTGGGGAACTTCAAGTTATTATGCCCATGGTCAGTTAAGGTAAATAGAGGAACTGCCCGTCCCCCATTGATTCAGGACTCGACAAAGCTCCTCGAACTGCGTGGCTCGATGGCTTGCAACGCAACGGCATAACTCCTGGAACTTACAAAGGTACAGCCATCACAGTAACCATTCCCAACCTTGAAGAAACAGTGGGTATTTTTAACGATACTGTCCTCGATGCCATTGATGATGTCTTCGTGGAAGGCCACATTCGTGGTATCAAATTCATCGTATCCATGCTTCATGGCAATGCATTCGGCCAAAACTCGTGTGACGCCTACTGCACCGAATTTGGGGGATTTGGGTCTGCCTCTGGGACACCCATTACTCTCGGAAACTCGTTCTACACAATCCCACAGCAGTGGCCGCCTTCGACAACACGATTGCTCACGTCATGAACTATCAGTTACCAAACTTTGGAAAGCCCTGGGCGCAGCTGACAGAAGCAATAGCCGCATTCGATATTGAGAACAACCTGATGATTCGGCCATCACCCAGCTTAACAGTGTGGGACCAACATGGTTCGTTGATCGCGCGAAGCAGTTCAAAAAGTATGTCGACTCTGCTCCCATCGCTGTGTCGACCGGAGGTGCTGGAGGTAGCGGGAATATTTGCCAAAACCGGAACTGGAGACCGTGGCTGTTTACCTGTCCCGAGATCGATTGGATTGCTTTACATGGCTACGACGGTGACTGGACGCAGTGGGTGCGAAATGCTGCCTCTTGCTGCTCAATACGACAGAAAGCTATTTGTAGAAGAATGCGGAGTGGTTGCATCTGCACGGGAAAACAATCTTGCTTGAAATTTCGAGAAATTTATGGAACTTGGCCTCAGTTGGGTGCATTCGGAACTCGTTCCAGGTCCGATTGAGAGCTGATATTGTGGTTCGGATCGCAGCAACGCTGTGTTTGAGGTTCGTCCGAGACAGAACACACGCCGTCTAGGTTGGCTGACTCCAGACAGGTGCAACTTGAAGGGCTGGACTATGCAGGTTTCAGGCTATTGCAAACCGTACATTAACGGCGAAATTTGCCTACGACACCTCAACCCATCTAGGTCTGTGATAACCGAAGAGAAAATAAGTCAGGGTGCCTATGCAGACACCGACACGGTCCCGTTGCTACAGGGTGCATGGTAATACCCCGAAAGCATGCAATTTTAGGCTTTTGAAGTGAGAGAAGTTGTGACTAGGCTCAATTTCGTCATGCAAATAGGTGGACAATCCCTGTTGTATCAATTCAAGAGGACGGCAGACGATGCCGCGCCTCAAGCGACTTCAGGTCAACTTGTGGCCCCAACCGTGGTATCAATAAAGGTAAGAAAACAGTCCACGGAGCGCGGACTTTCACTGTCATGTACGGCTTCCTACCCTTGTTGATTTCCAAAGCCCTGCCTCGACCGACATACAGCATGACCACACATTTTCCACAAATGAAGGAGAGGACCGGGGTAAACCATATCCACTACTCATGCAACCTCACACCCTTCGTCACTTCAGAGATGGTTAAGCGAGCGTCATGCTCGCCGCGTGCAACCGAAAGATCAACAGTTGCCCATGGGGTGAGATGTCATCCCCTCACAAAATTGTCGGAGGTCAGGCTACGCTTTTCCTACAGTGAAGCGGAGGAGCAGACAGTCCGTGCCCAATACGGTAACCGATCTCCCACTGCCTCATTGCCTGTGGTGTCAATAGTCCTGGTCTTCGCTCAAAAACAATATAAGTTGGCAGATCATTCTGGTCTTTCAGAGGTGGGTGTCAGACAACGAGTCTGTCCTGTTCATCTTTCAGCATGGCGGCGCTCAATGCAAGTATACTCCTTTCCCACTGTTAGTCGGTAACTTACGAATGTTGTAGGAAAAGCAGGCAATCCATCAAGTGGAAGACTCAAAGGCGGCAGTCACAGACAAGGAAATCAAAGCCGTCAACGCGGACTTTGCAGCTGCCCTAGGTCAGAATGCACCTAACCCCTGGGGACGTGGACATGTGGCCCTTTACTGCTGCTGTCTGGTCGTTTATCTTTGTTCCACCATGAATGGTTAGTATGGTGTATGCGAACTTGGTGTGGAGCGAACTAACAAGGTGAAAGGCTACGACGGCTCTCTCATGGGCAGTATCAATGCTCTACCCAATTATCTCCGCTACTATAACGTGTCGGAAAATGAACAGGCAGGCACTGGGATCGTCTTCGCTATCTTCCAAGTCGGCCAAATGACTGGGGCTCTGTTCGTTTGGTTGGCGGACTGGAAAGGAAGGAAATTGCCAATATTCCTCGGCTGTGCAGGTGTGATGGTCGGAACAATCGTCACTGCCACAGCCAAGACGTGTAAGTGAACATATCCCACAATACCTGAGCTGCCGCTGACATTCTCAGTGGCTATATTCATTGGCGGCCGCTTCTTGCTGTCATTCTTCTGCACATGGGCGACAACTGCAGCACCCATGTATATCGTCGAAATTGCTCCCCCTCTGGTAAGGATGACTCCACCCGCACAGTGTATGCATTAATCCCTCGATTAGTACCGTGGTACTGTATCTGGACTATATAATACTCTCTGGTATATGGGTTCAATCATCGCCACCTTTGGTAAGCGGTTCCGCGAGGAGGCTGAGAGAGGTCACTGACAATCTTGCAGCTGTGTACGGGACGCATCTTCATTTTACATCAAACCTAGACTGGAGATTGCCTTTATGGCTTCAGCTTCTCTGCCCAGGAATTGTTTGTATTGCAGTCTGGTTTCTTCCAGAATCTCCTCGTTTCTTGGTTGCCACCGATCGCCTTGAAGAAGCTCGAGATTTTGTTGTGAAATATCATGCAAATGGAGATGCTTCCCACCCCATCGTCAACCTTGAACTCAACGAAATCCAACACAATTTGCGTGATGTTCCATTGGCATCTTGGAGCAACTTTTTTGACCTTCGGATTCTAGTCAAGTCTCGCTCGAGACGATATCGAAGCATGTTGAATCTCGCGTGGAGTTGGTTTGGCCAGTTCTCCGGAAACAAGTGAGTATCAGTTGGAGAGCCTGAGATCGCCTACTGATCTTTAACAGCGTCATCTCTTACTATCTGCCCCTGCTCCTTACCAACGTCGGGGTTACGGACACCAACACCGTGCTCTTGCTCAACGCAGTTTATGCATTGACTGGTTGGATTGCCGCTGCTGCCGGAGCTCGCTTCCACGACGTCTTCGGTCGGCGTAAAATGATGCTGGGCTCGACCTTTGGCATGATCATCTGCCTATCCATCACCGCCGGGACTGCGGCTGGATACGTCAATACCGGATCGAAAAGTTCATCTGATGCGAGCATTGCCTTCATCTACATCTTTGGAGTGGTCTTTGCATTCGCGTACACCAGTATGCAACCCATCTACCCTGCTGAGGTCATGTCGAACGAAATGCGAGCCAAGGGAATGTGGCTATTCCAATTCACGGCTGGTCTCGCTTCGTTTGTAAACACTTTCGCTGCGCCGGTTGCGCTGAAGAACATAAAGTACTGGTTTTATGTTTTCTTTGTGTTTTGGGATTGCTTCGAGTTCCTCTTCATATATTTCTTCTTTGTTGAGACCAAGGGCAGGACTCTCGAAGAACTGGACGAAGTATTCGAAGCGAAGAATCCAAGGAAAGCAAGCACGAGGAAAGTTGTTTTAAGAAGACAAGAGATCGTGGACGTGGAGGGTTCACGTAATGTATCGAGAGTGGATCAGCTTTCTTGATTCACTACTTTGGTCAGAAGGTAACAGCGTTCAAACAGAAGTCTCATGCAGGTAACCCCGAAGGAAGCGTGGATCAGATTGAAGAGTTGGAGCATGCAACCCTATTTGAAAATGAGCGGCACAGTCCGACTCAAAATACCGGCCATATCTAACGTAGCCAAAGACGGCTCAACAACTTCAAAGCGGCTGCTTTATTGATAGTATAGGATGAATCACAGAGGGCTACTATTCCCACGGTAAAAAAGAAGGACTCTAAGTGTACCGCTTATTTTTCAATTCGGCTTTGTCATGTAGTTGGCCGCCATTTAAATGATGATGCGAGCAGACGGAATATGAGAATGGCAAGGAAGAACCTCGGCCTGCTGGAGGAACATCGCTCGAGATATCGCGGCGACACTCTGAACGAAGAACAGGAACAGCTGGAATTCGAATACGATAGCGACGGTTACAATACATGGTCCATTAATTAGACAAGAGGATCGCTATTACTTCAGTTCCTCGACTCGACAACTCTGCGCTGCTCATGCGTAACTAGGCACTTCGACGTTCTTCACGACGACCTTATTATCCTTATTGTTTGCGTAGTTCGCGTCGATGCTCGCAAATCGTATCCTCACCCATTCCGCGGCTCGAACTCCTTTCGGTGGCATAGCTCTGTTATTATTTCCCTCGACCTTCTCCCTTTCGAGGAGGGGGCTCTTGACCGGTTCTAGCAGGGTGTCGTCGTCAGGGTTTGCGAAATAGATCACGCCGTATCGTGGAATATCTCTCTGATCCTCCGGGGGCAGGACAACTCTGTGTATTGAGCTCTCCAGATACCCTCCCGTGAGAAATGAAAGAGTGTCTGCGACATTCACGGTGATGCTTCCCTTGAGCGGCTTCACCCATTTCCACTCAGTTTCGCCATAGGGCCGAACCTGCAATGCAGCGACGGGCTGACGCATCAAAAGCGTGAGGGAACCGAAATCTGTGTGGCCATAGACGTTGTGCTCGACGTTGTGTTTCTTCATGATATCCAACTCTTCTCTTGTCCGTGGATGGTAAAGCATGTAGCGGAGGTGACATTGGGATCTTGCATCATAGTTGTGCAGCTTCCACAGTGCTTCTTCATCATCCAGTTCCATAATGATTGCGCACAGGATCAAGAGGCGTCTAAGCACGTAAAACGCCATGTGTCGTTGGAACTTTTCGGCCTTTGAGGCTTCCCTGACCAGCGGCGCCGGGCGCGGCAGGTCTCTGTAGGAGTCGCACCATTTGGGGTCATCGTATAGCTCGAGATTGTCAACGAGCCCGTGCTGCTGTTTTCTGCTGCCCCTTGGCTTCCATCCAAAGAACCCGAGGCCGTCCTTGCCAACTCGACACTTCTGCTTCTCTTCCTCGGGGAGGTCAAATATGGCCTTGGCCAGTGCGAATTGTTCGTTCACCTCTTCCTCCGAGAGGCCGAAGTTCGTCACGTAAAAGAACCCTACTGTGGAGATGGCGTGCTTTAGTTGAGCGGCCAGCGCCCGTTTCCCCCCAGGCTCGTCATATCGTGAGAGGTCGATTGTGATGAGGTCGGCCCAGGCTAAGTCGGCCTTTGTGTCGGGGATGTCTTGATAGCGAGTATAATCGACACCAAGGGAGCCCATTTTTATTCGACGAAGGGGGATTGACCAAAGTCACAATGTCTTTCACGTCTCAAAACCGGTTACTGGTCCAGCAGAAATCTATGATTCGCTTTTAATGCTCCAGAGGGCTAGGTCTAGGATGCGGATATGCCGAGGATATCCGGCTATCCCAAACGACGCGAAAAGGATGCTGCGACTGGCATCAGTCAGCCTGGGCTCAACCAGCCCCCAGAACTTATTGGCTGACGACTGCCTGGTCGTTTACTCGTATAGCACAGCCATAAATCCGTCCATCTCCGGTTTAGACCACTAGCCATGGCTATTTTATCCGCCTAACAAAGACCTCCAAACCGCTCTGGACCGCAATGAACGTTGAGTGGACTTTTGTTGCCTTCCTGGATACACAAGTTCAAAATCAAAGTTCTCCGGAAGTTGAGGAATGACTTCGTTCATCTCAAATTGCGCGAGGTACGGTCCAATGCAAAGATGTCCGCCGCCCTAAAAACTACAATACTAATGTTAGTTGCCGTCAGCCAGGATTGAAGTCTTGGAATGGATGTCTTATCGGATACATATGCTTCTTCATGTCCCTGACGTCGCCGCAAAGCCACCTTTCTGGCTGAAACTGGTCGATATCGTCGCCAACAAAAGCATCGCGATGAACTACCTATCCGTTTATTGATGCCACGATTCCTCCTGGGTAGTTCCAGCCGTCAATTATTGCACCTCCCTTTGGAAGATATCGAGGAATGCACAGTCCAACGGCTGGCCTCAATCGCATGGCCTCCAACAGACATGCCCGGAAATATGGCAAATCTTGTGCTTCTGCCCATGTGACATTGGGCGATAGATGGGCTCCCCGAATCTATTCGCTAAGTTTGCGATATATTTCCGGACTGGATAGGACGACAGGAAAGAATGATCGCATTGTAGACGCAGTGGGATCAGCACCAGCACCGCTGTCAAGACTGTGAGAGGACAACATAGGTTTGCAAGGACTACTTATATCGCACCATGAGCGACTGAGAAGACGTCCATCTCTTAGAATTTCCATGGGTCTTCAGCACTATCAATTGGCCCAACAGATCTCGCCGGTCAGGATCGAGGAAGAATCTATCAGTCTGGTTCATTTTTTCTTTTCGCAATTTCAACCAAAGCCATTTGATTGCCTTGTGGAGACTCAACAGTGTCAAGAGATATTGAAACACAAGGCTTTCTCCTAGCACATGTCGTAGCTCAGGGACCTGGCCGACGATGCTGTCATACTATTGCAGGTCATCAATCAATTTAACGGTACCTCCGATGTCTCTCTCTTGTGCAACAAAACCGCAACGCTGTAAAAATGCAAACTCTCTGACAACCCGCAAAATATCAGTTATACCTTTTCGGAAAGAAGGTCTACTCACATCAAAGGAAAAATAATGGAGCAAGTCAACCAGATCACAAACTCTCCCGGAGTCCGCATACTCGTCGATTTTGGCAATAAATTCGGTTGACACGTCTTTGATCCATGGACCCATCTTCTGCATACTGGCTAGGCTGTAAGGGAACACAGCTACACGTTTCATAGCGGCATGTTCCCATTCCCGGTTCTGTGAAGATATCTGGTGCATGTTTTGGGGAAAGACTTTGTAGAGTTCGGTCCTCGTGGAGCTATTTCCAGGGGTGAGAACATCGTGTGCGGCTTTTGGTGTTGTGAAGGAGAGCTCGTTAGGCGCAGCCCGCACTGTGCTTCCATATTTCCCATGCAAGTCGATATAGTCAAGTTCTGTGTGACCGTTGTACTCACTCCATGCCTTCCAGAGGCGAGTGCAGGAGCACGCCAACGGGTCGGGGTACTTGGAAAGTTGGTGGAAGTAGCGACCATAGATGCAGCGTGAGAGAATAAAAAGCACGAAGAATAAAAGAATATTGTTTTTGATGAGCTTCAGGACATCGGCAACCAGAGCCGACGATGTCCTATCGGCCATTTTGACTTCCGTGCCTATCGCGTCGATAAAAAGCAAATTTCCATGAACAGTTATGTATAGCCAAGACGAGTGCGATGCTCGCGCGAGATCCCCGATTCATCTTCCACAAGGAAAAAAATATCGCATGAAAAGATCAACAGTAGGCTCTGGCTCTAACATTGAGCCAATTGAGAGGGATCCTATTGAAAAGACCCCTGCGGCAACCCGGTGAACACGGCGAGCAGGATTACGTCGTGAATCCGTCTATATTTAAGGTTAGAACATGGGCAAAACTGTATCGCATGTGCCTTGAAATCTAGTTCTAACCCTACAATTTAGAAACACGTTCAAGGAAGTTAAATCTTAGGTCATAGCCAGAAATTCGACCATGCCCCCACCCCCCCCTCCAACACACTCTGTCTAGGATAATGGAAAAATACGAAGCAAAAAGATCGTGCATCTCCACTTCTCTCCTTCCAGTTATCCGAGGTGACGGCCAGGGTCTGGCTCATTAAATGTAACACGCACGACTGACAAACACTTCGCATTTCAAGACAGTAAAATAGATCCTCAACCAGCCATGGTTGAAGCCAACGGACTCTCATCTCATGAAGAATTATACAAGACTGCGCGAGACCATCTGCGCGAAGAAGGCTGGGCCGTCATCCCTGATGTTCTGAGCAAGGAAGAAACGGAGAATGTGCTTTCCAGGTTATGGAAAGCCAAAGAGGCTGGCGAAAGTCGTGGAGACGCGACATACATTCCTCGCCTCGATCCCAATCAAGCCAATGTTCGGGTCTTCTATCTACTTGAACTGGACCAGATCTTCCGAGACCTCATTGTGCACCCATTGGCAATCGATATGGTGAAGTCGGTCCTTGGAGACAATTTCTTGATCTCGAATTTCACGGCGAACATTGCTCGACCTGGCAGTCAATCTATGGCGCTTCATAGCGATCAAAGCATCGTAGTGCCGGAACCATGGAAGGAAGTTTGGGCACTCAATGTTATCTGGTGTCTGACCGACGTGTATGGTGATAACGGCGCAACACTGTATATACCGGGATCGAACAAATACGAGTCGCGGCGGGACATTCCGTCAGACGCCGACAAATTGCTCCGACCCTTCGAAGCGAAAGCCGGGAGCATTATCTTGATGGATGGCCGAGTCTGGCACACCTCCGGTGCCAACATCACCAAAGATAAAGACCGGGCCTTGATGTTTGGATATTACACCAAGCCTTTCCTTCGACAACAAGTTAACTGGACAGCAAAATTACCCCCTGAGCTACAGGAGACTCTGAGTGAAGAAATGAAAGAATGGTTGGGGTTGGGTTATAATGCCAATATTGCGAGGACGGGCAACACTTCGTATAATTATCTCAGCAGGCAGTTTCCGAGGGCTGAAATCCAAAGCTGAAACGCCCGAACTAAGACAGTACCGTGCAAGCTTTCCTCAATACGTTGCTATCATTGCAAGATAATGTTCGCCCAAGTAACAAACTGTCGGTATTCAAGAACCGAAATAGAAGCATCGCTAGAGTCCTGGTCTCCTCTTCCCCAGGTTGCTCGTCCTCGGCTCTTGAAGACCAAGAATGAGGAGACCAGACTCAAGGGTTGGAATAGGTCCAATGGGACGCAAAGTTCTAGAACCACAGTGATCCCGAGGCTTACTCAATGAGGCTTTTGTCCCTTGCAGAGGGGGTTTTCGGATCAAAAAGAAGACCGAAAGGCTGAATGAGCCTTGTGAGAGGATCTGACTTCCCTTTGCGTCGGCGTTTCAGATAAGAGGTATTCCATTCCGGGCCCTAACCTCTAAACTTCTTCGTCAGCTCACAGTTACATAACCTACAATGGCAACTCAAACATCTACGGAGACGCAGTCTGTTTCGCTAAAGATCAAGGGGAAAGTAGCCGATCTTGACAAGCATGTCAATCTTTCGAAGTTTTCGAAAGACGTGCCAAAGGCCGACTATGAACGAGCCGTTGATCTAATCAAGTCCAGGCTTGACAACATGTCTCTCGTTGCGGCCAAGCTTTCACTTACTCTCGGACCAAATCATCCCCCGTTGCTACTCGATGCTCGGACAAGCCCTGCGACTCTCCGTATCATAACTGGGGAATTGCCTGAAGATCTGGACGCCCAGGTCTACATCACGGCTATCATGATCAAAAGATTTGTCGATGGCCTGATGGACGCTCGCTATGCTCTCAACTGGGGCCATATCTTCATGCTCACTGGGCCTACGCGGGTCGGAGTCAAGTTTGTCGATGCCCTAACACCATTCAACGCCGTCCATCCTAAGCTTGACCGGCTGGATCTGAAAGATTTGCCAAAACCTACCGAGGACATTGAGCAGGTCAAGCGAGATCTTGATGTATGGGGATATGGCTTTGTCAAGAATGCCCTCACTCCAGAAGAAGTCCGAGTGTTGAGGAAACGGCTCATGGACCAGGCCAAGGGCGAGGCCGATGCCGGCATTGGATTCTTTGACGGCGGTGAGAAGAAGCCGAATCAACGTGTCTGGTGCTTGCCGAATAAGGGCAAGGAGTTTATCGATTTGCTGGAGAACAACAAGACCATTGAAGACATGGTCCCTGACTTTCTTGGAGACGACGCTATCTTATTCTCATACACTGCGAATATTGCTCGACCGGGCAACACCCCGATGCACATGCATACTGATCAAATTACGATTCAACCACCAATCAGATCCGTTGCTGTTGGCATGAATTTGATGTATTTCCTGGAAGATGTCACCCCAGAGAATGGCGGAACTCTGGTCATGCCGGGTAGCCACAAAGGCAACTGGGCACCGGACGACCCATACGATCCAGTTGATACTGTGGCTGCAGCTGGCCCTGCGGGGACTTGTATGGTTTTTGAAAGTAGACTGTGGCATGCGACGGGCGCGAACAAGATGCCAGCAGACAGCGGGAGTGAGCGACCGGTCATTCTGGTTTTCTTCACGCGACCTTGGATGAGACAGCAAGAGAATTACTCGTTGTCCGTCAAGGAGGACGTGCTTGCAAAGTGCTCGGACAAAGTCAAGGGCTACATGGGATTCAAGACAAGTGGAAGCATTGGTGGTGTTCAGACCAAGAAGAAGGACGGGGAAATTGTGAGACGACCAAAGGAGGACGAGTACATTGGTGTCATGGGTGTGGGCAGTTCTAGGTATTAATTACATAGCCGTCGAGTCCCACCCTCCTACACCAGGAGTTAAGAGATCCTGTGCTACGATGGTCTCACGCTTTGCCAGCAACTCTTCGATGTCCCAGTTAACGTATAACAATCGATTCTGGAGGAACGAAGCTTCAGGGGTGTTCACCCAGACTATGAAGTCTGCGGCAAGTTCGGCTGGACGGGTCAGTCAAGCCGAGGATGCTAGGGGGTATGGTTCTCGTACCTGTGTCATCGCATACCGAATTCCCTTCCTTTGCCATTGCAGTAGCAACGACTCCTGGATGAACATGGAACACCTTGAGGCCACGCTTGGCTTGCTCGTGGTAGAGGTAGCTGAACATCTTGAAAGCTGCAAGTTTACTTGCCCCGTATCCAGAAAGCCCAGCAACGAAATCAATCACGGCGGCCCCAGAAGTGATGTTCAGAATTGTTGGCTGCTCCGATGCATGTTCAAGGAATGCGGTAGCTAAAGCCAATGGACCCTTTACGTTGACTTCGAAGTGTCTCCAGTATCTATCGAAGTCCCAGTTGCTGTCCGGAGATGGTGTCGTTGGCATCGAGGCAATATAGCCAGCGTTGTTCACGAGGATGTCAAGCGGACGCCCAGATATCTTGGACGCTTCCGCAAAGACCTGCTGAGCCTTTTTGAGTCCCTCGCTGACATCGAAAACAAATTTCTCAACAATGACATTTGGACATTCCTTTGATATTCGTTGCTGTGTCTGCTCCAGAGTCGAGGGCGTACGACCGCACAGAAAGACAGCCTTTACACCGGTTCTCGCGAACGATAATGCGGTCGCTGCTCCAATGCCCGTCCCGGATCCTGTGATGAAAACAGCCTTATTCGACAAGTCCACATTTTTTAGTCGTTCTTGCAAGGCTGGATACGTGTCATGGTGGAAATTGGAAGTGAAGTTCTTGCGTGTTATGATGGACATGGTGAACAGGACCGCGCTGGCGATTTCAGGGGACAGGATGCGCACGAGACTCCTGGACGAAGAGCCCCTGACAAGGGGCAGTCGCTTTCACCATACCTCGTCAAGGCTGGCTAGACTGGCTCTCGGTCGTGGGAGCGATGCACCGAAGAATAGAGCCTCGGGATGATGAACTGTGGGATTCTTAGTGCTAACAAAGCTAAGCTGTTTTTGGATAGCCGAGGAGCCGAGATTGCGGGGGTTAATTCTCGTTTAGGGAAAGCCCCACTTCTCCCCAACATTGCGGGGAAAGGGCCCAGCAAGACCCTGCTCGGTATTGGCGTTCCCATCAACGAAGGGCCGCGAACCCTGCAGGCGACATTTGGCGGGCGGATGGAGGCGGTCCTGCAGGTGCAGCACATCCTGAGCTCGTCAACTGCGGTTAATGAGCTTTGGCCTCGAATTGATCACGACTCGCCGCACGCCAAAAATGTTACGGAGGATGACTCCTTTGCGATTCATGTTTGATACTATTAATCTCTCAGCAGCAGCCACAGCAGCCACAGCAGGCAAACTCGCTTCTCGTCAAAGATGAGCACGACCCAGCCCGACACTGAAACCTTGTCCCCTCCCACCGGGTCGAGATATCGCTTCATCAGAAACAAACCTCCAAAGAAACGTTCCTCACAAGCATGCCTCGAGTGCCGGCGGCGAAAGGTCCGTTGCGATATCGTAGCGCAGAAACCAGCCTCTTGCACAAACTGCCGGCTTGATGGGGTTACCTGTGAGCTAGGACGAAGAAAGAGGCGGCCACCGTATGTCTACAATAGGTTCTGTTGGGCCGGCTTACTGATGGGAGGCCCAGAAGACACGAGACCGTCCAACCCTCCCCTCCAACGCCCGACTCCTCCATCTCATCC